CCCATCTATTCAATACAAAGAAAACAGTAATCCTTGCCAAACGCTCAGTTGGGGCATGTCACACCCCTGCTCAGCGATCTTCTATGAATGCTTTTCTCCTTCGGAATAAAACATAAGGGTTCATAAGGCTCTTCGTCACCTGGTGGTCTGAACCTACCCCCTTCCAGTCTGTGCCTTGGTCACTACACGATGCCATGTCCTCGCATAAAGCACATTGAACCCTGCTTAGAGTTACCTTCCGACAGGTAGCTATAGGGCCCCCATCTCGGGCAGTACACCTTTCATGTAAAGTTACTTGTAATTAAATGATCAAAGTAGTGCCTCCTTACCTAGCTTTTTATAAGCATGAATAGTTCCCCTTAAAATAATATTTTATTTTCCTTAATGTCATAATGTTCACAGAGAGCAAGCAAAAGCATTAATGCCAGATATGAGGAAAAATCCACCAACTCTCCAAATAACTTAGCTGTTATCATTCAGTTATCCAGCTAGTAGGTTTGGGTTAATTCTCTAAATTCTGCACTTTGCACTTAGTAAGTGGCATCCACTGAAGGACCAAGAGTCCACTAAACACGCACCTGCCTGCACCCCTTAACACACACGTGCACACACGCGCACGCACGGGGAGCGTGTGACCTTCTTTTGAAAACGAGAAGCTGTGCGCCCCCCTTTTGGCCTCAGTGCCCTAGGAGCCCTCGCCCCCTCCGGGAGCCGCAGCCCGGGGCCGTGTCGCCTGAGCGAGCGGGATGCTCGGTGCCAGCGGGAGCCGCAGCAGGCTCAGCTTGCTCAGGGCTCCGGGATTCTGACTAACGAGGCTTTTATGCCCTGGGGGAGGCTGGCCCCTGTCGCAGTGCGGGAGCTTCAAGCAAGGCCCCTCACAGGCCGGGGTTTTGCTCAGCGTCGGCCGTGGGAGTGTCTCTGGCCCCCTCGGGCCCTTACCAAGAGGCGGCTCAGCAGGAGCTTTTGCTCGAGGGGGAACCGGGCTCCCCCCACCCCGTCTGCACCTGCACAGGCGCAGCTCGGGTGGATNCCCTCGGGGGAACCGGGCTCCCCCCCACCCCGTCTGCACCTGCACAGGCGCAGCTCGGGTGGATACCTTGGGGTGGCCACGGTGGGCCCTNTGCTCGAGGGGGAACCGGGCTCCCCCCACCCCGTCTGCACCTGCACAGGCGCAGCTCGGGTGGATACCTTGGGGTGGCCACGGTGGGCCCTGTGCCTGTGCTGAGCTGAGGGGCCGCCTGGCTCGGTGCCACCCGGCGCGCCTTGGCAGCGCCCAGGCCCTGGTGGGGTACGGGCCGAGCGGGGGCCCCGGGCCCCGCACTCACCGTTTCATGGCCTCGGCCTGTCGCCGGCGCTTCTCGTCTTTCTCCCGCAGGTAGGCCAGGTTCGCCTCGCTCCTCAGGCGGTCGCTCTCGCGCGCGATGTCCGACGCGTTCTGGATGACCAGGCCGTCGTAGGCCTTCATGCCCATGTCCTCGATGCACTGCAGAAACGCGGCCACGGCGTCCTCCTCGGGGCTGGCAGGCATCATCCTGGAGGCTCGCATGGGCAGAGGGGCACTTCCTGCAGAGAGGGCACAGGGACAGAAGGACCTGTTCGCGACCCTGCTGCAGCCTCGGCCCCAGCTGCGGGCAGCAGGGCGGCGCCCACGTGGAGGCGGCGTCGCGCTGGCAACTGAAAACAATCGGGGTATTTGAAATAAATATTAAGTGAATGTCGCCTGAGCAGCCAACAGTCCCTCAAGGCAACCAGCTCAGCAGGCAAGGGGACAGAGGTTGTGCGCGGAAGGTCCCATAAGGCCGCAGACCCGAAGGAAACATTCGGTTGTGGAATTAGAGTCATGATTTTGTTTCTCAAAAACGTGTTCTTATACCAACAAGACATATGNACAGTGTGGGACCCGAAGGAAACATTCGGTTATGGAATTAGAGTCATGATTTTGTTTCTCAAAAACGTGTTCTTATACCAACAAGACATATGTGATCCAAGCTTCATTTATTTCTGACCCCCATAAATACTTTTCTGTTCAATCTCAAGTAAAATAACATAATTATTTGGAAGAAACATTCTCCTTACGTGTGTTTTCCTTACATTTTAAATTAAGTTTATGAATCTGAACTGTCCGTGCAAAACATAGCAGTCATCAAGGAAATACGCATTTCGAACAGAATTCGTCTTGGCCACAATCCCTTTTGACCTTCCATTATTTTTCCAAATGCTTCTCTGCAATGGCCTGACACTATCAGTCAAACACCGCAGATCACCAGGACCAGGTGACTCCTGACCGGTCTGGAAATTGAAGCAGTGACAACTGTGATTGTCATCGCTACTCGCAGGTTTAAAAACCTCAGCCACAGAAAGGATTACTGAAACCAAAACCAAATCAAATCAAACAACAGCGTAGGACTTTGAACCAATACGTATTAAGCTCAGTTATAAAATGATGGAAATAATCTCTCCTATCACTTGCTAATGTGAAGACTAAGAGAGTTGAGGACACTAAAGAGCTTAGCACAGAGGTTGACAATAGTAAGCACATAATAATGTTAGCTAATAACATTCTAATAAAAGTGTAGGAGGAAGGTTGGCAGCAATTGCAATTTCAAATGTATACGTGGGATGAATGAGTGGGCGGGTGACCAGCATGCCATGAAAATCACCATGCCTTGAAGTAAAGGTATCCAATGAATCGCAGAAATCAATAAAGCCGGGGGATAGGGAAATTGTGCTTTAATCAATCAAAAACAGAACTGAAGTTTAGCTAATTACACACAAGGTAGGTATCCTGCCTTTCTAGCTTCATAAGGCTTACTGTCCTCAACTGCATGTTCACTGTAGTAGAGGAAACTGATATAATTGAGTCAGATGGAAAAACCTAAAGCAAAATCAATTGACAAGGGGAAAAGTTGGCCATTTAAAAATTGGATATTACCTTTACATTTTTTTTACTTTCTTTAAAAAGCTCCAAAGTATTTGTAAGATATTAGCCCAACTATTTAATGCTGAAGTCAGAGATGCTCCTTTCCACCATTACAAATCATTTTTATTCTGATTTTCTTTATAGGTATAACCATGTTCCATAACCTGGATTGTAGCTATGGAAACTTCACTTCTCATCACAGTTTATTAGCATTTTAGCTGCCACTCAATCCGTATGTTATTTGAAACTCACACTGAATTTAAGGATATATTCCCCAATTTCTACGGAATTGTTGAATCTAGAGGATAGAAGAGTTATTTGTTGATTCATGGTTTTTTTATGTTAAGTTTTATTATGTTTGATTTGGTTTTAAGCCATAATGGGCTGGCAAATAAAATGGTCTTAACTATCTAACACAACTGAATTATATTTTAATATCAGTCCATTAGAATAGATTAAGTGGTGAACACACAGAAGAACAGAAAATTACTGCTACAAATGATTGCAGTTTTCGGGGAAAAATACAAGAACATGATTCTCAGAGAGCTAAAGCATCGCCATTATTGAAAATTCACTTCTACCAAGGACTCCAGCATTAGGTATGCCTGGATAAAAAAAGACCTGCATAACTTTATGGCAATTAATTCTGCGGTAGTTAAGCAAGCCACGTCAGGATTACAAGGATTCTAGACGTAATGCCTCAGGGTGAAGGGTGATCACTCCCACTCTGCCCTGGAGCAAGGCATTATCCATAGGTTTTTATTTCTTCCCTTAAATTTTCCTCACCATGCAAATGACACCAGTGATTCTTTATACAGTTTACATATTCCAAACATTAACAAGGTTAATTGTGTACCCTGAAAATAAATTATCTTCCTAAGAGGCCTTTCAACTTGGCTAGAGTTTTAATTACGTTTATTCTGAGAAAATATTATATAATAGTACCATAAAACACTTCTACTAAGGAAAGTTGTATTATAAGAATTTTTTAAGTGAGATGAAAATTTGAGGAATGAAAATCAACCATAAAATCTAGTAAAATTCAGAGTAATGAACACTGAATTGAGGTCTGTGAGCATGCTTGTGTCACCCAGTTCTAGGGGAGTATTTGTACAATCATTCATTCCTTCAGGGATGTCTTGAGCACCCGTTATGAACTAGGCACTTACAGAGGCAGGATTGTCTCTCTTCAGACTTTCACAACGCAGTGTAAGGGCCCAGTGAATGAACAATGTCAATACAGAGGGACAAGGGCACTGACTCAGGTGGCAATGCTGACATTTGTTAGTTTGTCATGCCTGATGGTCACTATTTTTGAGAATGAACATAAAACACTTTTCAACAATTACATCTAGTCTTCAAAAATAAAAATTAAGATTACAAGTGTTTAAGCATCACACTTTTCTGCTTCCTTGCCCACGTGTAAAACCTAGTCGTAAGGCAGGGGAGGGGTGGGCAGTGAGGCAGCTCTGAAGAGCAGATCTGGGAAGCTGAGCAGCATGACCCCAAAATCCCAACCGGACCACTCCTCGATCTCTGACTCTGTGCACGTTAATTCACCTCTTTAAGCTTTAGTAAAATGGTGATTGGAATAATGCTTACCTCCTTACATTGGTGTGAAGATTCAGTTAAAAAAAATGCATGTAGTGCTCAATACATGTGACCATAATTATTGGATACTTTTCACAATTCTTAACCAAAATTGTGTTTGGTAGTAACTTCTCAATAAACATATTTTTACCTTGAAACATCAGTCAATAGAATGTTTAGTGCAGTTCAACTTTCTTAGTTACAGATACGCAAATGGAGGCCTTGAAAGGCGTTAACTGATTTGCCTGCTAACCAAACACATGTGTACAGACCACTTATTCATTCTGCCCCATTTTCCACATCAAGAGAATAAGGGATTGAGGGCACATGAACCACAAAACTCATCCCATCTCTTAAACATTCAACCTCCGCCTTTCTAACTCTAAAGGTATTTCTCAGGCCACTGAACTCTGACTGAGTAGATTCATGACCTCACTGAAGAAAAGTAAACCTTATATTAAGTGTCTGCCTCATTACAACTGCTACCATTCCCCTGCAGTGAGAACCCACAGACAAGTAGGGTCATAAATCTGTTTATCTTTCAAAAATATATATTTATGGCAAAGATAGATATTAAATAATGTATTTTTTAACCACTAAAAACTTGGCTATGTTTTGAATGTTGGATAGTAAATCAAGTTTATTTCTGGCCCTTGAATAAAAATCCTATGTACAAGCATTTTATGAAGGCCTGACTTGGGCACCTAACTCCCAAAGTCAGCATCTTAGAAGACCATAGTTAAAAGGTAACTGGAACCCTTTCTTCAGGTAGCATCTTTAGATGTATCACAACTAACCAGTCAGTCAGTCAGTCTACTGCACTAGACCTCAAATTATTTCATGAGATATTTGTGACAACAGAGTGGGTGAGATTGAAGGAAACATCTTGCATTTCTACATTCAGTCCTTCTATTTGAACTAGTATGTGTCTGCAGCCAATTTTGCTCACAACAAATTAGACATTTTAGCGCCCCCTAGAGCACTGTTTGAAAGCTGACATCTGTGGTAATCATCCGCAGGGCAGATGTGTTTTCTTTGAAATGCACAGCATTGATTCAGATAGTGTAAGTGATCTTTCTCTTCGAAGCTGTGGCCAGTATTTAAAATTTGTGTCAGGGTTCTCCTGGGAAAACACCTAAAATGACCAAGATCAGAATCCCCATGCAAATCACATGTCTTCACTTTGCTCTTTTTTTCCACTACTATATTCTGCATTTATAAGAGATTCCTTCTGTTTAATTTCTGAATTACTGTATTTAGAATCATTGCCATCCTTATAAAAGCTACAGATGTGGACTTACATACAACTGAATGGCTAACTTGCTCATTTTTATTTTATTTTATTCTTTCACTTTTTTATTTATTTCTTGTTGACCACACCCTTCTTAAACAAAACTTTGTATAATATTGTGACACTTCCCAAAATTTGAAATGTCACTCTACTCAGCTAAGATATACCAATTTATACCAGGTAATATTAAAAACACTAAATGTTTAACTTTTTTATTGAATTAACCATTTCTTTAGATTCTTTTGTGTAAAACCATCACTATACCCTCCAATGCTGAGCCTAGAGCTGAAAGTAGCATTACATTTCTTTAAAGTGTTTCCAATGAAATAAAACTATCTGGAATGAATATATATATATATATATATATATATATATATATATATATGGAACATAAAATATACATAAGGATATCCAAATGGAACCCATGGAAACCAAAAAAAATCACTTCTTTTATTCTTTTATTCTCTTCTGCAGGCACTACTTGCATCCGAGGAACTCAAGAAGCTGAGACACTATGTGATTTTGAGTGTTAAAGCCAAAAAATAAAAATAAAAAAATTGAGGCATATTTTTGAGAAATCAGTGCATGCAAAAACTTAAAGATCATACATGTATATGGGTTATTTCCTTTGTAAATTAAGGAATGAATTTTGTGTGGCCTCAATTTACCAAAGCATATTTAATGTGGCACTAAGTGATGTTAAGATTGGCTTCCCCATAGTATAGGTTTTTTTTTATTTTATTAA